ACAATGAATAATAGTAAAATATTAAAACTCCATCCACCTAAATCAAGGATTAATTAAATTAACCTGGAAGTGGACATCTCTATAGAAATAACCAACGTGAAGTGTTAAACTTCCTATAGGTTTACCATCTTCTGTTTTTTAAAGTGGATGGAGAAGTCTTTTGGTTCTTTGGTTACCAAGATAATTCAAAACATTTAGAATAAAACATTAATTTGCATCAGTGATAGAAATATTTGTAGAATTGAATACTATGTCGTTTTTCATCATCTTATCTCTTTAAAAATTGAATACGTATTCATCCAGTCTCCTGGTCATGCAACTTTCTAAGCACACTTCTCTCACTAAAGGAAAAGTATGAAATTCAGACTGGGGAGATAGCTCAGCTCAGTTGGTAGATTGCTTGCCTCTAATGCACACGGCCCTGGGTTCAATCCCCAGCTCCGCAAAAAAAAAAAAAAAAAAAAAATGTATGAAATTCAATCTTCAGCTTGAATTTAAGTTAGTTGAGTCTGGCCTCTTATACATGGAAGGAAGAGACCAAGGGTAGGGAGTAGGATTTCTTGGAAGTCACATTTCCTTCCAGGCTTGGTAAGCATCTGTTAGAGCATTGTTGAGGAACGGTGTACCTCACAGAGAGTGTTCTGGAGTAACAGGTAGGATAATCCTGATACTAAGCATCGATCATGCACCAGGCTCTGCTCAACAGCCTCCACTCCGGTCATCTCTCGTACTGAAACTCAGAGAGGAGACTAAACATCCAATGAGACACATAGTGGAAATTTGAATCCAGGTGTCTCACCTCTGAAGTCCTTCTCAACGTGAAGTAAGAGGGTCTTCATGATTGAATGTCTCAAAGTGCCATCTCCATGGAAAAAGGAATGTGAGCAATTGGAGTTCCAGGTGTTAAGAGGTGAGACTCACAGTGAGACTGCCTGAGCTGGGAATCTAAAGGATTTCAGGATGAGCTTCAAGATGTTGATCCATGGATTTAAAGAACGTTAGACAGTTTCTTCTATTTGCTTCATGCTTGACTTTCTAATAATATTGTATATACTTTCTGCAGGCAAGTGTTTGATTTAATTTGCAGAATAGGCATGAATAGCCAGGGAAGAAAAAAATGAATGCATGAAGCCAGGACAGTACCATCTTTGTGGGTATATTATCTGAGTTTCTTGTTCCTCTTTAAAGCTTTGATATATGACTTCAGTTATAGGTCATGGGGTAAGTTTTTCAGTGAGAATTCTGTTCATCTTGATCTCTTCTTTTGTCAAGTTCTCCTAGGCTTATAATTACTCACTTCAAATCCTACTCTTTGAAGATTTCCCCCAGAACCACCAAATAATGTAGAAATAAAGACATTAGAGAAAATCCAATCAACTTTACTTATTAGCTTTGTCATTCAGTATGAATAAGAAATACTTTGTTCCCTGTTTCATAGAGCTATCCTGTGTTTCACACATCACCCCTGACCTGCATTTGCTGATGCCTCAAGTCCAGCCCTGCCCTCCTAACATCAATCCCATTTCATGTGGCTGGGCATGCAGGGTGCATGGTGATGGCTACTTGGAAGTGTGGTCCTGCCTTCCACATTCCTGTAGTTAGTGGACAGCTCTTTTATTTTCTTTCATTTCTCCATCAGCATCCTCTACAGTCCACAGATCCTTTCCTTCTGGACAAACTTCGCTGAGCACATCACATCCTTTCCTCCTTCATAGGCCATCTAAGTTCTCAACACCCACCAAAGTAGACACATGATGACATTTGCACTTTACCTAAAGGAGAACACCTTTAGTTATCTTGCAAAAACATGTTGAATTCCTGTCATAAAAAAATACTAATGAAAGAAAAGCAAGGGGAATTAGGTCATGTAGAATAGTTCTCTTTTTGGATTGTGGGATCCATGGGGGACTCTGGTGGGGAGGGATAAAGAAAATGATCTGAAAGTGAGAAATGGGAGTTCTCAATGGAAAGCGCCATTCTGGTTTTATTTATAGCAACCATCAACTTTTAATTTCAATTTTCCTCCAGGCCTTGTTGAGCACTGTTAACTTCATACTTTTCTCCAAATTCAAGGGAAAAAAAAAAGAAATTAGAACATACCTTTTTGTTTCTGAGAATCACATATCTCCAAACTATTAATATTAAAAGAATTTGTTTGCTCATCTGAATATCCTCTTCTGGAATAATTCCATGGAAAATTTGATTTTGTCGGGGAGGACAACTGAAGAAGTGAAGTGACAGTATTTGGGGTTAAGAGTTGTAATTCTGTCATGCAGACTTTCCAACATACAGTCAATAGATATCAGCTTAAGAAATAAACATAAGTAGCTGCTACATGACTTATACGTCGTTTCAGTGTTAGGACACATTTCCTTTTGTTGTTGTTGTTTATTTGGTTGTTGTTTGTGGTGCCCAGGACCTCGGGCATGCTAAGTAAGGGCTCTTCCACTGTGCTATGTCGCCAGCCCACTGCATTCACCTTTTCATAGGCAATTGCAATGATAGGAGTCATATAACTTGGGAAATAAGATTAAGAGTTTAAGGCCCAGATCAGCTACTTACATATCTCTGAAGTTCTGGATCCTCAATTTTCTCATCTATAAAATGTGAATAATAATATCTACTTCACAAACATTCAAGGAATAAACAACATGTGTGCAAGTGTTTTGTGTAGAGTGGCCACTGTTAGATGTTATTACCCCTAAGAAATCACTACGGAAGGTATGACTGTATTGCTTTTGTTATATTGATACAGTTGGGAACAATACTTTTAATTCTATAAGGCAGGTTTCAGTAGCACAGTATTAGAAATCTCTGATTTACTTCATTTTTACTATCTTCTTGAATGCTTGTGTGTACTAAAATATTAAAATTCATAGAGCTAAATAAGTATCAGTCTTGAAATACTTTTAAAAATAATTTTGCTTGTTGAAATCTAATAGCAAGTAATTTCTTGGAGAAGGCAATAACTAGTGCTATTTACTCACAGTGGTTGTAAGTTTTGTATTTGCCTTCTTAATAGATAACAGATGTGGAAGGACATGGGTTTGTCCCACCCCATCCCCAAATGCTCAGTGAAACATATGGCAGCAAGTCAGATTACACTGTATGTGACACAGTCAAATACTCACAACGGAGGAAAAGAGAATCCGTATTTGCTCCTAATTTGTATCAGTTTATTCAGCATGCATCTGACTTTATTGTTGTTGTTGCTATTTGACTAAAGAAAAACAAAATTTTCTAAGAAATTATAATTGATTTTATAGATCTCAAGATTACTGAGAAGGATGTATGTATATTAAACCTTTAATGACTTTCTTGCAGTGAGTATCTGCAAGAGAAGCCTGTAGAGAGGCATTAATGAGATATCTTTGCACTATAGAAACTTCAGAGTAGACCTGACTCTGCAGTCTGAAAGAAATGTATCAGGATAAAATCACGCTATCTCCCAAAGGGATCTGCATGTAGTTCATTACTGAAGATACTGTACCTATCAAACTGAAAAACCACATGGACTTTTAAACTGCAGCAAAACCAAATATCTCCAACACAGAATATGAAAATGGATATGGCAAAAACACTGCTAAGAATCTGGCCCACTTTTGTTTATACTTATCAAAACTGTATATGCATTAAGCATCAATTGTGTTAAATTCCTATACAGAAACTAATTATAACTCTCCCTTATCAAAAAAAAAAAAAAAAAAAGACTGCAGTTGCTGGAAATGTCTCCAATATTCATTGCACACTAAACTGCTTCATCATTGGGCTGTGGGTGTAGGTCTACTTGCCTAATATGTTCAAGGCCCTCAGTTCAATCCCCAGCACACACACACACACACACAAAAAAAAAAAAAAAAAAAAAAAAAGAAGAATGAAAGAAGGAAGGAAAAAAGGAAAGGGGGAAGGAAGAAAGTATTCTTCATGGGGCTGGGGATGTGGCTCAAGCGGTAGCGCACTCGCCCAGTCGCCTGGCATGCGTGCGGCCCGGGTTCGATCCTCAGCACCACATACAAACGAAGATGTTGTGTCCGCCGAAAACTAAAAAAAAAAAATATTCTAAAAAAAAAAAATATTGAAAAATTCTCTCTCTCTCTTTAAAAAAAAAAAAAAAAGAATTCTTCAGTCCTAGAAGCTCAAGTTGAAGCACAAATACCAGGAAGAGCAATTCTGAGGTTCAGCTCCTCATTTTGGATTTCATCACTACCCTGTGACACCCAAACGTACCTTAAGGATATGACAGCAACATCTGTAAAGAGATGCCCCTGCCCTTGCATCAGAGAATGTAGTCCAAAGAGCAGACAGCAAAATTAGCTGAAAGAAACCATATGATAGCCAACAAGCCTACTCAGTCTCCTACAGGCAATGGTAAGAACTCTTTCTTTTGGGGTTAGAGAAGTTGTTGTTGGTCGGAATCTATCAACAATGGAAAGACAGCACCATTTGCTTCATAAGTTTTATTTCAGCACACCATAGCTTAGAAATTTGGTTCTACTAATATCATACATGTAAACTGCAAGCAAAGAGACTTTCAAGTGATTGGCACATGCTCTAAGGAACCCTGATGGAGGAAGGAAGTTAAAAACATCATTTGTTTCCCATGGTCCCTGGGGGTCTCACTGCAGCTTGGGTAATGAGAATGTAGACTTGGCTCCAAAGGCAGAATAATCTTTCTTGACAACTATAATTCCTTTATTAAACATTTTCAATTGAGCATTAAACAGCACAAATCTAAATAATAATGTCAGGCCTGTACACAGGCCTATACTTTAGACCAGCTTGGGTATGTGAGTGCATAGACACACACATACACACAGATACACACACACCAAGGAAGAAAAAAAAGAAAGAAATTTTTGCACATTTCACTGTCCTGTAAACTACAGCATTTTATAGAGCAACATGCCTTTTTAAAGGAATATCCTGGTGCACATGTGTACATACTTTCTTTTCCTGGTCAATACATTAAATCCAATTTATTATGAAAGAAGGGTGGGGACACTTCCACCAACAGGCTTATTTAGAAAGAAGCAAATTAAACAAAACTATGGTGATAACAAGCAGATGCCTAGTTATAATTCACTTCCCTAATGCTGATTAATATACTCATGAACAAATCAAATATATTGCCAAAAGAAGAATGCTAGTGTTAATGCCCAAATGGCTACTGGTTTCAATTGTGCTTCTTAATCAGGCAAAATGTTCTTTCCTTGGCTCCTGGCACTATTTTTTTTTTTTTTTTTTTTTTTTGCTTCCTGCCAATCTTGGAAATAATTCATCTGTGTGTCATTTCCTCGTAAATGCTTCTTCCTGGTGCTTGATTGGTTTGCCTGTACTTGTGTGGCATTTGATTTCAAACTGCCATTTTACCTTTATAAACCTTTAGAACTTTCTAAGCATGAGGAAAATGCCCAAATGGCAGACAAAAATAAGGCTGTAATTAGATCAGCAGAGAACGTTTTAAGCATATCTAGCTTTCTGCATTATAGCAGAAATCTCTCCTTACAGCCAATTTTGTTTTTTCCAATCTGGGTGCAGAACATGAAATTAACATCTGGGGACTCCAGCAAAGGGGCCCTAGTATCCACATGTTTAATTTATTGTTATTGCCCCCCTAAAAAAAGTTTTTTCGTGATTACTAAAATAGGAAATGTAATATATTTAAGGATCTAACCCCAGGCCATTAAAAAGGTGGGTGGGGGGAGAGAAACAGAAAATAAAAGTAATATCAGTTACCACATTATTTTTGTAGTAAACAATAGAATGTGACGTGCAATAGTGCAATTTTCCTTTGCTAGTCCAGCAATGCGAGTCTCAATAGGAAGTCCACTGATGTTACTCTTCGTATTTCAGGATTTAGTTGCGAGCTTGCCGGGGGTTAGAGTTCCTGCCAGACTTCTGATTCTGAGTGGAATCACTAATGCTAGAGTCACTTTTACTCAGTCCAAGATGACGGAGCTTCATATCCCAGCGCTGTGAAATTTAAAAGCGAAAATAAGTCATATGCACCTATCACCAGGGTCACTATTTCTACGACTTTTAACAATGAGATAAGAATGCCAGGTCAGATCTCGAAAGCATTTTGCTACTTTCCCAAAAGTATAAAATCCATATCCCAGGGTAATAATGGAACTGTACTCTATGAACATAGTGCTCAGATTTTAAAAAGCATAAAGTTGGGCATTGATAATATGTCATATCAAAGCTTAAAATTAAAATTTCCATATTTATAAATGGTGATGCAAATATCTACCAGTATCTGTGAGTATTTCTTGAGGTGACATACAAATGGAAGATTTATATACAGAATTTGTAGGAGGGGTTATTTTTCATCTTCTTCTCTAAAGAAAACATAACTGTATAGACTTTTAAAACCTGTTTGAACTGGGCATGGTGGCACACATCTGTAATCCCAGTGACTCAGGAAGTTGAGACAGGAGGATCCCAAGTTCAAAGCCTGCCTCAGCAACTTAGGGATGCCCTAAATAATTTAGCAAGACCCTGCCTCAAAATAAGAAATAAAAAGGACTGGGGGTGGGGACTAGGATCGTGGCTTAGTGGTAGAGTGCTCACCTAGCAGATGCAAGGTCCTGGGTTCGATCCTCAGCACCATATAAAAATAAATAAATAAAATAAAGGTATTGTGTCCAACTATAACTAAAAATATATATTTAAATAAAAAGGACTGGGAATGTTGTTCAGTGGTTAAGCAATCCTGGGTTTAATCCCTGGTACCAAAAATAAATAAATAAATAAATAAATAAATAAAACCTGTTTGATGTGAGCAATTAAAAATATGGAGGGATGGTGTCTCTAAAATATTTTTCTAAGCAATGTCTACCAACTGCAACAAATAAAACAGACAAGATCCTGCCCTTCTTTAATTTCTTTGGTCTGTTTTGTGGTTCTAGGGATTGAACTTCGTATACTCTACCACTGAGATACATCCCTAGCTCTTTTAATTATTTTTTTATTTTGAGACAGTTGCCCAGGCTAGCCTTGAACTTGTGATCCCCTGGCTGCAGCCTCCCAAGTAACTGGGATTACTGTGAGTTATTGTGCTAGACTTCATTCTGTTTTATAAAGCAATAATTGCAATGTTTTAATAACCACTTTCACATTTACTAACAGTACATATTAACAATGCCAAAAATGTTTACATATAATGCAAGAAATTAAATGGAAGTTATGTTTGAGAATGTAGATGGTGAATAAGGACTACAGATATATTTCTCAAACTTTGATGAACATAGAAATCACCTCAGGATCTTGGGATAGGGATGTAGCTCAGCAGTAGAGCTCTTGCCTAGCATGAGTGAGGCCCTGAGTTCAATCCTCAGAACACACACACACACACACACACAAAAGGTACATTCTTATTTTGTAGGTCTGGGATGGGGCTCAAGGTCATCATATCTAATACTCTCTGAGGTGATGCCTATTTTACTGGTCTCAGGATCACACATTAAGTAGTAAGAAGCTAATGATCAGATGGCTCAAGTTTAAATCCTCACTCCCCCCACTTACTTACAATGCAAAGTTTTTTTTTAATTTAGTGAACCTCATTTCCATCATTTCTACACTGAAATTAATAACAGAACCTACTTATGATTATTCTGAAAATTGACTAAAAATATCTAGTGATAGCACATATTAAGTTAGCTATTACTATTTTTCTATTAATGAAAATAAGTTCTTTTCAGCATATTTTACTGCACTATCTTACAGTTTCCACATTAAAAAAAATTCTGATCACAACTCCCCAAGGCAATCCAAATATCTTGATTTGAACAATCTTAGGTAAACCAATCATTTGTATGGAAAAAGCCTAAAAACTTCTTTTAAAAATACTTAATCCACCCACCTATAGAGAAAACATCAGCTGAAAAGGGCAACTTTGATTAAATAAAAAACTAATATCTTCCATAAGATTATTTTGTATAGTCTGAAGTTGACTGGTCAACTAAAATAGGGATCTCAATAATTCTGGTCAAAGAGACTTTCCACTCAAACACTTTGGCCCCTACTAAGTACATACAAATAAAAAATGGTTCGAGTTATTGGTTTATTTCTTCCATTAGTATGTTTAAATCCAGACTGTGAACATAAATGATCTCACAATAACTCTGTGAGTTCCCCATGGCAAGCAAGGTAAACACATTGTCCCCTTACTAAGAGAAGGGACAGACAAGCCAGGCGTCCTGTGGACAAGGGCAGCAGTGAGGCTCCTTACCCGCCCTGCAGCAGAGATGTCGAAAGCTCTTCCAACCAGTGCAGGAATTTAGGACAAATTCCTGTTCTGCATTAGCAGGCAGAAAACCAAATTAAAAGGACAGGAAGAAATTCCAACATGCTGAAGAAGAGCCACTTCTTTAGTAAACACCAAACTAACTGAAGAGAGACATAAGCCTAGAATGGTGATAAGTCTGCACTTGGAGTACACCTCTCTTTGACAAATATGTGGAGAAAAGGGAACTTAACCAGTGATAGGTTCTCCCTGCAAAAGAGTGCCCTCTACATTTTTTGTAGGTCACTTAAATTCAAATGTGTCTGCTATGCCGAGTGCCAGATGTATAAGATCAACTGCCCAGGGGTGTTTAACTTACTCTGTAAATGTTTCCCAAGCCTTCAGACTTGCAGAAGGAAGAGGATGTATTATGTTTGGTACAATTCCCACCCCCCACCCCCACTCTTAACACATATCCTTTGAGATTCTTTGACCCCCTATGTATCACCCCCCACATTCCTTTCTTTGAAACAGATCTGCTTAGTACTGTAAGAAGAAATGAAACCTTCTATAATGAAGTAATTTCCTACTTCATTTTTCTTTATATCAATTTCAGAATCTAAGAATTCTTGGATTAAAAATAAAGCTACAGTACTGTTGTAAAGACCTACTCTGGTCAGGCAGGCAGATGATTCAGGCTAAACCTCGTGTATAGGAATTATTGTCTATGCACTGGACAACTTTGGTATTTTCCTACCACCATTTATTTTCCCTTCTTACAGAACCATAATTTGTTCAAGGAAGCCTTACACCTAAAGGGGGAAAAAATCCTAGCCTCTCTTGCAGCTAGGAAATGGATATATATCTCCATTTCTGATCAAAAGTCCTAAGAAAAAGTTGCTGAATCTCTTGGAAATCCCTTTTTGCCTCTCCTTTCTTTCTACCTGAAATGAAATGTGATGCTGGAGGCACAGAAGCCATCTTGTAACCCCCAGATAACTGTGAGGATGAAAGCAACACCCTAAAAACATAGCAAAGCATTAAGCAATCAGGTGCCTGGAGCCCTAATGATAATGTGGAGCCTCCCTACCAGAAATGGACTAACTAAAGCTTGACTTACGAGACGTTGTGGCAACTATAGTTTGATCTCTGATATACAGGGAGCTCATTCCTTAAATGAGATATTAAAGACAAGCTGGCAAACTCAGTTCTTACAAATTATATACACACACATTTTTATATATTATATTTTAAAGTTTTAATATTCTCATGTGGTTGTAAGGGACAGGTGGCTGGTTTTCTACTTTTATTTTCTGTACACTGTAATACTTTGAACATGAAATATAGGCTTACCTTAACTTTTTTGCCAAGTCGATCCTTCCATTTCTCAGCTATAGAGCCTTCCACCAAAAGTAACCTGTGTTTTTTTAAACAAGCAACCATTTTTGAAAAAGTAAAGCATTCTTTTAAAAAACATAAGGAATCTAGTGCCAAAAATGACTACATATGTTTATTCTAGAATAGGAGAACCCAGTTGGAGAACAGTAATTGTTAACCTTTTGGGAGTCATGGTTAAAAACAAAGCTAGGATTCCTGTCTCCAGAAAAAAAATTCCCACCCATAAATTGCATGCACAAACTTTGCTATCCAATATATGAAATTCAGGGATCCTGTTACAACCTATCTGTAATATCCAAGAAGACAAAAAAGTCCTAAGGTAAAGATGCCACAGTAAGGTCTCTAAAAAGAAACTCAGAGGGTAGGGTAAGCATTCTGAACCCCAAGGTGTGAGTTACCTGGAGCGCTCCTCATCTTCATAGCCCATGATGATGTACTCCTCATTGACAGTAAGTGGAGGACACAGGCAGCCAGAGCTGGTGTGAAGGTTGATGGTGTCCCTTGGGATGTTCACCAGAGACGACTTGAGAATCTCCTTCACCTCCACCACTGCAGTCACATCATGGCACTTGGTCTTGACCTCTTTGACCTTAGCCCTGATGACTGTGATAGAGGACAACAAAGCTGATGTGCTGTTTCACAACACATAAGCGCCCTATTCAAAATAGACAATGAGGCTTCTTTCCAGCCAATTCTTATCCAATTGATGCTCAGTGTTTGAGAAGAGATTTTGCCTGAGCCTACAGTGCGTGATAAACTAAACAACATGCCTACCGTTCAAGTGCTCAGCCCCATCCCCTTCTAATTTGTGTGTATGTGTATATTTGCATGTATAATGCATATATGTGTGTGTTTCATTTTGAAAAATCCAATTAGATTATCAAAGGTTGAGTGAATCTGATACAATTTTCCCCAAAAGTTTAATTTTAGATATGTGTGTATACACATATGCAATCCCAAATGCTGCCAACAAGAATCTAGACTATATTAATTTCACCACATGTAAAGACCTCTACTCACCATGCTTTGCTTCTGCTGCAGGGCCTATTAATAGATTTCTCGTTGAGAGTCTTTTTGTTATAAGCTGTCTTGTTTAATAGTGTTCCCAAATTCGTTCATCAATCTTCTCATCCTCTCATTTTAGCTCACTCTTCCTTTGTTTCAGTGCATATTATCTTTTATGCTCCCCTTTAAGCATACTAAATTTTATTCTAAAACATGGCTAGACCTTGTTTTCTGCATCTATCTACTCAGAATTCAGATGCTCTAGTACTCCTCCCCATGGTGTATTGTGGGGTCCATTTTAATATGCCAATTGCATCAATCTACCACTCACAATAGAGGCACAGGCACTGGACCTCCACTTTCAAGAGTCAGCTTCACTGCTCAATGTGAAGACAAATTGCCTTCAGATGTAAAATCAAAGTAGTTGACTTAGAACCTAGAAAGCACAGGAGCTGGGGATGAGGCTCAGTGGTAGAGCACTTGCCTAACATGTATGAGGCTCTGGATTACATCCCCAGCACCACTAATAATAATAATAATAATAATAATAATAATAATAATAATTAGAAAGCACAGTTCTGCTAGTTTTCAGTAGTTCTCCTTTGAAAGAGCCCAATTCTTTAGATTCCTACTTCTGGTAAATAAGTTTTTTAACAAAAAGTTTTTTTTAAAAAGGCAAGAAAAGTCAGGCACAGTGGCACATACTTATAATCCCAGCAACTCAGGAGGCTGAGGCAAGATGTTCACAAGTTCAAAGCCAGCCTTGATAACTTAGCAGGACCCTAAGTAACTTAGCAAGACCCTGTCTCAACATGAAAATAAAAAGTGGGCTGGGGATTTAGCTCAATGGTTAAGCACCTTTGAGTTCAATTCCTGGTACCAAAATAAATAAATAAAGCTAGAAAGATGTAAAAAATGTCAATTAGTAAGAGGTCACTAGCATTTGCTCAGGGGTCCTCATTGCTCTACTTCAATGTCCACGGATGTTTTACAGTGGAGAACAGAATCTATCCAAATGAATATACATTTTGAAAGCTTCTTGGTCTGCAATCAATCTGCAAACTTCTTTCATCTGAGGACCTTCCCATGAGTTTTAAGTGCTCAAGATGATAAGGGATTGGAAAAAGTAATCCACACAGATGTAAAGCCAGCTAATAAACCATTTCTCCATCAATGTTCCAACTCCATCATGGAAACTTAATATTCTACCAATACAACCTACATCTGATAGAAATTAAGGTACTGAAAAATTTCTAAAATACTTTAGAATGAAATCTTATTTCAACCTTCAGAGAATCAGTTGCCTGAGTATGAGAATTTAAAGCAAACAAAATAAAACTGCCTAACTGCCCCTGCCTGGTTTGATTTGCAAGTAACCTTTCTATTTGTGTCCTCTTGATTCTGAATTTTAACAGGAGATAAGATTGCCCTTTTTGAAATGTCGTTTGAGAGAATCAGACGATAAATTCTTAACCCCAGCTCGCAGACATGTTTTTGTGTCCTGGCTTATACGAATGTGCTTCATAGCATCCATCAACCATTAGAGATTAGTGAACTGTGTAAATGTTCTCAAGCTAATGATTTATTTACCCAGTGTGTCTACTATTTTCATTAGAAATTTTTAGCACATGTACCCGCTCCAAAATAAATATCTCTCTACAAGACCTACTTTATTATTCAAGTAATTTTGTTAAAACTCAAGAGTTTGTAACTGAATTAATCTGAATGAAGCAGCAGTTTTGTCTGAGTTACCAATTGCTCCTATGCCTATTTGGACAGAAGCAAATATACAAAATAAAAATCAACATATTTTGAAAGTAAAAATATATTTCCTTTTCAGAGTTTTTCCTTCTATTCAATCATTGGAGCACCTGCCTTGCCCCTCAAATTTGTAAGTCTCAGACAAATGATAATCCTTACACTATGGACGGTCTGGTAATTAATTGATTCTGAAAAAAGTTTTTTCCTCTTTTAAAATCACGATCCATATCCCATTTCATTTTATGACATTCATACGGCTACCTTGTCCAGAATCTTCTCTTTCCAGGGATTTGTAACAACTAGTATTTTAACTTTTAACAAAGATAGTAGCATCAAACATTTCACACCAAGAAGTTGGATAAAGTAAAAAATTATAAGTAAAATGGAACTGACGATATTTCCCTGATATAAAATTATATTTTAATTTTTATTGTAACTATACTTAAACATTCATCTAGCATTTTTCAATCTTAAAAAGCTAGTCTAAAAATTAAGATCTCCCTTTTCCTTGAGGCTTTTCACATCAGTTCACACAGGGAAGGTCTTCAGATAAGCAGTCAGGCATTTGACTTCTTAGATAAACATAACCTTCTAACCTTGGAAAGTGTCCATCACCAGCTAGGAAAAGCCATCCACTTAAGATGAGTAATAAACCAAAAAAGTAAAAATTGATTTCACTGAAGGAAACTTTCAGAAACTAAGTCAGAAACTAAGTGCATTTATTTTAAAGAGATTTAACTAGACTGAGAATTTTCAGCTTTGTTCTTCTTAATACATAGTATTTCTGAAGATATCAAAGATTACTTTAGAGTCTTACCCATTTCCCTCTTTCCAAGTTGCAAAAGTATAGAAGTAAATCTGCTCTATATATCCTATGTCCTTGAAAATAGAAAACATAAACACAAGAAGACTCTCACTTTAAAACTAATGTTCATGTTAAGAGTCTGTTTAATTACCATGTTTACTCATTGACTTAGCATCAATAGTTGACTGCAGACGGATTAAGTAACTCGACCTTTATCGGTTTTACAGATACAGGCTGAGTGAGCATTCCTAATCCAAAAATCTAACATCCAAAACTTTTTGAGCATCAATGCAACACTAGAAGTTCAAAAGTGCACACCTGACCTCATGTGACAAGTCACAGTCAAAATGCAGGTACATTAAAAATATATAAAATTACCTTTAGGCAGTGAATATAGGTATATATAAGATATAAATAAATTTTGTGTTTAGATTTGGGTCCCATTCCCAAGATATCTCATTAAACATATAAAAGTACTCTAAAATCTCAAAAAAAAAAACTATAACCTAAAATATTTCTAGTCCTAGGTATTTTGGATAAGGGATAATCTCAACCTGTTCTAAAAAGAAAAACACAATGCCAAAGGAATTCGGTAAACATTAATTAGTCCCATATTTTATCAACTGGAAAACTCTAGTAATTTCTCCTTGTAAATATGTTGGTAATATTTATGACACCAAAGCACATCAGTACAAAATCACGTTCAAAAATACCTTATGAGAACACAAAAATCCATTACGAATAATTGATGAAGGAAAAACTTAAGTGTACTAGTCATTGATAAAATGAGAACAGTATTATTTTTCATTTGGAGTTGAGAAAAACAAACAAGTGAGTATTTGGAAACCATCCAGCACAGTCCCTGATACAGAGACAAAAGGTTTCTTCAACCTTCAAAGGTACTCAGATACATTTGTGTTGGTAGCTCTTTGATTGATATTAGTTTACCTGAATGTCACATTTTTCGGTCAAGCTAGATAGCAAAACATAACAGTTACTGAATATCAACAACATCTAGTAAGTGTGATTTCCAAGTGTTATTTCCACTGGCCTATTCCAGTCCATGGGATAGACCAAAGAACCACGTTTGACCTTAACCCTTCTGGTGCATCAAAGTGCTCTTCTGTTCACCCCTGTGGAGCAAAACTGATGGCCCATGCAGCTCCAAACAGGAGCTAAGATCCTCCTCTACTTCCCAGGTACAGAAAAACCCCTCCATTTTAAAACTTCTGCAAGGTTCCAGCAACAATGCTTGATATGCTCAAAATTGAGCATTTGTCAAGAACTTTGCCCATGTGAGACATTGGTTGAAGCAGGGAAACTATGTTCTTAAAGTTGTCCTTCTTAATTTGCTTTTAACCCTTTTTATTTAAACCACACTACTTATTTTCATGTGTGTAAGCATGCACCACACACACACACACACACACACACACAAACACAGACCTAGAAAGTAACTTATGAGTCACCCATGAAGTTAGCCTTACCATAGTTGTAATTGTTCCGGAAATAGGTCTTCTGTGTAGCTCTAATAGGCTTACATTTGCAGCGTTCTGAAAAATACATTTTAATTATAAGCAAATGTTCCATATTAGTTTTATTTACTCATATTTTTGGTAAGACTACATATGACTTCAGTGGTAAAAAGGCTCTTTGCAACTCTGTCTCTCTTTTTCCTGGAAATATGCATCTGTTACTTCTATCAATATAGCCTCTTATTCAATGTCTGTATATTCTTAAATTACCACTCTCTAACCAACTATCCAAATCCTGATAAACACTGTTCATCCCCATGCATGAGATAAGCAGGACCCAAATCCTGAAAAAGACTTGTTCAATGCTTATGCAAGTAGAATGGATGCCTGCTGAGAGCAATTCTCTACATACACTCAGGTTGCTGGCCCATGGCTGTGGAATATTACCTGATGTTTATACATATTTTACAGATTACACAGCACTCTTCCAAATATTACATCCCAGATCTGAAACCTACTTGGGAAGATAAGCAGGTATTGCTACAACCCAGTGAACTTAATGAGCCCCTCACACAGGTAGAACAGATGCCATTACATGCAATAGTATCTTTACACTTTTTGGAGGAAATCACTGTGTACATATTTTGAAAACAGAAATTCCATATTTTAAAAATATCTGGCACATAATTGCTTAAAGCATGACCCGAACACACTTTATATTGGACAGATGAATGTAAAAAAAGTTCTAATTATCTCAAAATGTTTTATCTTTAGATCATTTAACATCATGCAGAGTAGATTTTTATACATTTTATAGAAGAGATTACTTAGCTAAGAAATATACCCCATAAGCATGGTAAATTATTAGCAATAGCAACATAAAAATGGAAAGTAATACACAGACCTAGAAACATAAAAATGGAAAATAACACACAAACCTAGAAAGTATGAGTCATCATGAAGTTAGCCTTACCATAGCTGTAATTACCTCAGAAAATATTTGATTATATATAGTCTTTTATAAATAGCACCACAGAGAAAGATCCATTAAAAATTAAATGCTATGAGTTTCCTCTATTTTAACACAGAAAAGGGGGAAAAAAGAACACATGAATCAGAGAAAAGTACCTAACAAAATAGTTTTGTTTAAAACGTGTTTTATGATCAGGTATGGTGATGCACACCTGTAATCCCAGTGACTCGGGAGCTGAGGCAGGAAGATTGCAAGTTCGAGGCCAACCTCAGCAATTTAGCAAGACCCTGTCTCAAAACATAAAAAGTTCTGTGGATATAGCTCAGGGGTAAAGCACCCCTGGGCTCGACCCCCAGTTCCAAAAATTAATTAATTATTTAATTTAATTTAAAAATTCAAAGTATATATGTTAGCATGAGAACAATGAAAGGCTGACACTTTTGTTGACTGCTGGCTATTGTATTTTCTAATCCAAACAAATTTTATGTTCTTTGAATCTATAAATAAGTGACAGCAGTCCCAAGAGGAGTAGCATGATTTCTGTCAGTTTCAAGTTCTAGAAATAAGTTTCTCCTCTAGAGACAGGTCACAGCAGCAACTAGTGTTCCTCCATAAGAGAACTGGGAATTTCTCAGTGTTACACAAGGCATCTTCCTGCCTTGTTCCGTAGGGAATTTTTAATTCGAGATTTCTGTGATTAACAATCTCAGCTAAATAAACAATGGGTGATATCAGTTCTTGTTGCTACTTTGAGGAAGACTACTGCAAAAATAACTCTTATTAACAAACTGTTTATATTCCCATTTCAAAGAAAATGGAAGGCTATCTAGCTCTTGGCTTCTTATACAGTTGATTTATTTTATATAAAATGTTATGCTGTTATACATTTTTAAAGAGAGAGATCCTTAATATTAGAATATGTCTGAAGAGATAAATGCTCTTGTCTTTGATTTATCCTCATACTGATATGAACTTCTATTTAAAAATAAATAAATAAATATCTATTAAAAATAATACCTACAGGAGCTGGGGGTATAACTCAGTAACAGAGCACTTGCAAGTGCAAGGCCCTGAGTGCAATCCCCAGCACACAAAAATATGTTAATATAATAATAATAATAATAATAATAATAATAATACATGTAAATAAATTATCTACACATTTGTAATTCTTCAGAAATTTGCTGATATTCTAATAAAAAACATTTGGCAAAAAAAATAGCAACTGTCACTGAATTGAATTTAATTTGATGTTACCCATATAACTTTGCTTAAAGCATAAACAAATGTATTCCATAAAACTTCCCAGGCAGATAAAGAATTTTAATTATATTATAATTAAATCTGACTTAAGAAGATTTCAAGAAATTATGTATACGATTGCATATACATAATTAGACTATTACCTAATAGCTGATGAGCTAAGCAATTTATTCTTGAGACCACAATTTGCTCATTTGCAATGCACTTTTTACCCCAGCTGTCTCTGAGGAAAAAGTGCCATAATGCATGTAGATACGCCCCAATTCCTAGCTATTGCTATAAGCAAACATCTGTCTAGTCAAAAGTAACTAATAACTCAATAAATTAACAGAGTAATAAGGAGAAGTAGAATTTTATATTCACAAGCTTCACATGTGAAAGAACTTCCTTTCATTATTTATGCTTACTCAACACAAACATATTCATGAAAAGAATATCTTAGGTCGATGGATAGGAAACATTATCCCTCTTTTAAATTGTGTTCACAAACATCCATACTATTTACAAAAGCCTTAAAACTAGGAAATTGCAAAGTCATGGAAGGAGACATTGCATGAAATATTTATTATATTTTTTGTGCCCATCACCTAAATCAAAGCAATGGTTTCTTTTTCTTTGCTACCAACAGATGATTTCCTGATAGTTGGACATTTTATTGGGCCCTAGCATCACTCTTGTCACTAGTTTAATTGTTTGTAGTCTTCTTCTCCCAGCTTCCCAATGGCATATGGTTTTCAAGTTTGGGTTTCTATACTGGCAAAATAAAATCTAATATTTACTGAACTTTGCACAAAACCATTAGACATGATTTTCTTATGGTTCGATGTTGAAAAGAAACGCATATGAAGGAAATAAGAGTCTGCCCTGGTGTTTTATCTAAGAGAAAAAAAATATATATTTAAAAAGTTGAAGGAGCAGCTTTGATAAAAAATAATAGACCAAATGAAGATAAAGATCTCCAAATTTGACTAAAGTTTTAATATCAGCAGTTCATTTACCTGGAAGCCTTGAATTAAGCGCAATATCCTGAATCATGGGACAGTGTGCAGGGCTACATCCCAATAGCAACCATGGGCTATGATGGGCCATTGACCTGGGCAAGTGCTTCCTCACATTCCTGCACTCCTCTCATTCGATTCTTTCAGTCCCTCTCCTAGAATTAATGCTCTGCTATTTCTCTATTACTGAACCTGAGGCCTGCTTATTATTCTAGTACAAACATGACTTATTCCCCTAGTACAAACTTGAGAAGTTAACATGCCCTGCACCTCCTAGAACTTGGTTTGCAACTTGGGAAGCGCTCCCCAGCATCCTGCAAAGTGAGAGCAATGAGCAACTTCCCTCTCCAAAGTGAGTTTCTAATAATTAAATTATTAGTTCAGAGAGGAAAATGAACATATCCTTTATTTTTTAGTTTGATATATAATAGAGTTATTTATTGAAAAACGTATGAGAATAGTAGTATTTTTTTCTTTAAAAAAATTTTTTTTGTTATTGGTTGTTCAAAACATTACAAAACTCTTGACATATCATACTTCATACATTTGATTCAAGTGAGAATAGCAGTATTTTTGACACAGTTTTATGAGCTCTAAGGAATTCCAAGTACCAGAAGAAATTATGAATTTTGATATTTACCGGATCTTCATTATTTAACACAAACTTCTTTGAGTTAGTGCTTAATTATAATATAATTTTCCAACAAGCCCTGACCTTTGTTTGGATTGAACTATTTTGGGTCTCATCCAAAGCTGTAAGACTATAATTAACTTCACCAGATTCCAAAAGTCCTATGATCTTTCATGTACCATGACTTCAGAAAACTATCTTTGAGTGAATATTTTTTTCTGATTTTTCTAGGAAATGATCTGAAATCCGAACTAAAGATTTGTTTTCAAAAAGCAGGAGGTGGATACTATTCTATTTGTGTTAAATTTCCACTTTAATTCCCAAGACTAAACTTTCTAATCAGATCAGAGTTCAAGTAATATTAATTTGTGCCAAATACACTGTATGTTTTATATCCTGACACCTGACTCCTGAGACCCACTTGTCCTCTCTCCCTCCATTTTAAGAAACTTAGGGGCAGACAACAGAAAATTTTAAATGATATAGAAAATAAATTTTTCATGATTTGAAGATCTATATCCTTAACTCTGACCTAGTTGAGATTCAGATTTATGTTTTTTACCTGGCTACAAGAAGTGTCTATGAGCATGTACATAGGTAATTTTAAACATCTATTAACATCATCAACTATGAAATTGTCTTTCCTCTATAGAAACGTCCTCAAGCTGGGGCTGTAGCTCAGTGGCAGAGCACTTGCCCAGCATGTGTGGGGCACTGGGTTCGATCCTTGACACTGCATTTACAAAATAATGATAATAAAGGCATGCTGTCCATCTACAATTATGAAAAAATAAAATATAAAAAGAAATGTCCTCTGACTCTGTCACCTTGAGATATTCAACATTCTGTAAATGTGAGATGGTAAAGAGAAAGAGCACTCACATTTGTTGAACCCTCTTAGTCAACTGCACATTCATTCATGCCCTCTACCTGTATTTTGGGGGGGATCTTTTATATTCCAGACTCTATAATAGTCCTGTGGAACACCTGATGGGCCATGCAGATAATCCAGAAGAGGATACAAACATGGAACAAGTAATTACACACAAAACAACTTACTGTCATGGATGATATATGCTATGAAGAAAAGTACAATGTGTATATATATATATATATATATATATATATATATATATATAATGAGAACAAATGACTGAACCTAAACTGGCTTCAGAGGAAATAATATTTAAGCTTAAAAAATGAGTTCTATTCA